AATAAAACTGTGTAGTTAGATGAATATATTATCATTCACGAAATATATAGAGAAAATAATAAAATACACTTTTGGAACGTGTAATTTTTTTGTTTGTTGTATATATAATATTATGTTTTTAATAAAAAAAATAAACTAAAACAAAAAAAAAAACAATTGTGGGATTAAGTCAAAAAAACATTATCTGTTGATGTTTTTTTTTTATTTATTAAATTTATATGTGTTGTATAAAATAAAAAAAATTGGGTTATAAAAACGATTTGAAATAAAAATTTGAAAACAGAAAAACCAAAAAGAATTTTTTATCAAAAGTTGTAAACTTACACTACAATAGTGCCTCTACTCAATATCGTAATGTAATGTTATATATCATTTATTGTGTGTCTAAAACCTACAATAGAACACAACTACACATTATGTTTTATGATAATATTTATATTATTATAATTTTTTATTATTAAAATTATTCGATTAGAACAAAGATGTCCTAAAAGAAAATAAAAATATAATTTTATTAATACATAGGTATATACGGTATCTACAGTTATCTGGTCGGATACAACAGCGTTTCTCAACCTGTGGTACGCGTACTTACCACTAGTGGTATAGGTACGTGCGATACTCTCTGGTGGTATCTCAAGAAAATATCCATTCATAAAAAAAAAAAGAATAACAAAAAATAAACAAAATCAAACATATAATCATAATAGTTATTCACATTATATACCAATATATATATTATTTTGTTAATTTCTTATTATATGTATTTTTAAATGCTTATAATATATTATTACACACGTCACTGTGTAAAATAACGAATACATTTTTTTTTTTTATAAGTGAAAAAAAAACGTAATTTGGTTATGTGCGACACTTGAAAATTTTCAAACCGTGTAGGTTATGCAGGTGCTGCATAAAGGTTGAGAACCCCTGGAACACGATAAATAAGGGTCAAACCAATAGATGAGCACGTGCAACTGCGCATCAAATATAATTTGATGTATGATAATACATATATCATCGTTGGTATAAAAATAGTAATATGTTAATTATTAATATTTATTTGAATTAATATATATMTAGAAATACGACGTGAACGACTTGCGACTTGCCAACAGGCGATTACGACAAACCGTCATTGATCGTTTGATTTAATATAATATTATTACGATTCAAAAATTGTTGTTTATGCATCCCGAACTAGGTCAAACGAACGGGTTCGTGCTGATCTGCAGCATTTATGATGTGCCGAAGTCGATGCGACGGACTCGAGGGTTGTCACACGCGCCACGGGGTGCGCTAAAACCCCTTTTCAACTGCAATATAGGTACTAACGAATTGGCTGTGTTTTTTTTTTTTTTACAAGTACAATATTTTTGACGACGAAATCAACATAAAAAAATGTATAAATTACGTTACATACTATTATTATATAGTGTTTGTTTTACTATTTGTTATATTGAGTAGTCTAATTAAATCGCATGCGTGATGATGTACTGTTAATAAGCTTAGGTTAAAGTTGTAGG